CCCCCCCCCCCCCCCCCCCCCCCCCCCCCGGGGGCACAATAGCCATCTCCTGTCACCACCACCGCCTTCTTCCCCTCCACCTGGATGATGAATCCATTAACGCTTCTGGATCTCCACAGCTTGGTTTGTTGGTTGAGTTGTTTCTCTACTCCGAAACAACCGATCCCAAACCTCCCCATCCAGCACCACCACCCAAGAACTCCCTCTGCAAAAACTACAACTTGCAGTAGTTTAACAACAAAAGGGCAAAAGGGAGTAGAAATTTCTTCCCTTTGCTATTTCAATTTGAAGGGAAGAATAAATTTACTACACAAATTTGGGGAAGATGTAGAAGATGAAGAGGTTATTAAACTGAAAATGATGCTGATGGAAGTACACATTCTGTAAATCCATATTCTGAAATATAGATTGTGTCTCTCACCACCATTATGCTCATTGTGTGGTACAGATCTCATCTTCCAAGACCCATCTGCAAGTTTTCTAGAAGCTATAGAACTCAAAAATTGTTTGTTTTGATTTCTTTACCAGGTGGAGATGAAAAAGTTGGATATGGCCACAACTGCAGCGCTCTGCTTTCATTTTTCTTTCTTTGAAATATTTTCTACTTTCCTTTTTTTCCCTTTCATTTTCTTCTCAAAGATAGATAAGGATATTTTGGGAGAAGAATATACAAAGTTGCTAGTCTGATAAAATTTAATTTTTGTGGCCAATCCTAAGCGCTCAAAATTGACAATTTCCTCTTAAAAATATTTCAGAAGGTAAAAATGTATAATGGACTTTTCAAGATAAATATTAAAAAAGCTAACATAAAAGGATTAAGAATAGCAGTTGTAATAAGCTACATAAAAGATTACGTGATAAAATGACCAGAGATCAACTTACAGGCCGTAAGGGAAGTCCAATTGGACTCAGGACACAGTCTGGAACAGGTATAAGTCTTTCTCTAGGGTGATGAAATTTACATACTGAACCAAATTTGCAGTCCCCAGTCTTCATATAGAACTGGCACTCTGGCTGACCAGGTCTCTCGGGAAACATATTCTCTCTGTGAAATGAATAATAACCCATAGGCATAGAACTGGAATGCAATTGATCTCCCATATTTTCTGCCTCACTCTGGTGTGGGATATAATGATCATCGCGATTTCCTGCTAATGACTGTTGACTTTCTGAAGATGAAATTGTACCCGGATGACTCTGTAAGGAAGACATATCCTAATCAAATTCAGACTTTTCAAGAATTTCATGTCTTTCAAGTACTTAGGTCAAGCATCAAAACAAAATAGTGTTTTCCACATTTAAAGTAATTGCATCCAATAAATAACTAAACATTTTGCAGCAGAGGATAAGATATGACACAAAAATTTTGCACAAGCATGGCCAATTGGAGTTAAATATACCACACAACTTAATGGATATTGCTATCACATCACTATGTGATGATCAACCATTAATAATTTAAAAATACAAAGATTAGATTTTGGAGGCAGCGGAGACAATCCTGAACAAAAATGTATAAGATAAAAATGAAGTTATAAACAGCATATTGATTAATAAGCTCAATGCAAATTCGAAGTCTTCAAAGTTCCAAGTTTAAATGAACATACAGGTTGTGATACCCCAAGGGCAGTCCTCAGGTTAATCCTTAGTTTCACATTTCTCACACATAAAGCATTTCCTTATTTGAATTTATTAGTTCTCTAAATTTTTACCTGTTAATACATTTTACTCTTCTCGTATCTAAAATCGTAGTTCATACATAATGGCTTATTTAGAAATATGCGGTTCTCATTAGTTAAGCGTTGAAAGAGCAGGACTACTTGAGGATAAAGATTATAACTAAATATCACAATTATTGGTCCACTTTCTAGATAATACCAGAGTGTTTGTTTAACCACTTGGTCTAAAAAATTAAACTGTTAGTATAATCACATGTAAAACATTTAAGTATCATCTTTAACACACTCCCTCATGTTTAGTCATAGTTCATTCTTTCCATCAAAGCCTAAGATGTGCACAACCTTATTTAATGGGTGGCAGCAATAATTTAACTCAAGATCTCTGCATTCTCTGATATGATGTTGAATCTAACAGTTTAAGTTTAAGCTTAAGCTGTTAGATAAGAAGAGGGAGTATGAGAATTTCGCCCATCATAAGTATTAAGTTCTCCACTTTTAATCCACAAATGCAGATACCCTTTGCAAAATGTAAGAAAAGTTAACCAAATAGCAAACATACGAAAGGAAAAAACCACATTTGAAGCAACGTCAAGGAAGAAAATGATATAGAAAGCATGAATTAGAATAAGTATCACTGAAAAGATTACTTTGTATGTATTCCATCCTGGGACTGAGACCACTCCTTGATGCATAATCAGTGGTGCATAACCTGAAGGGCTTTGCCACCGTGTACTGGGAATAAAAGTAGTTTTCGACAAGGAAAATTGCAGCTGACCAGGAGTTGTTGGAGAGTGGATAGGAGGATAGACAGAAGAGCCATGTAAGGTGACCATCATGTTGTTCGGCTGAGGATGGTGGAATTTACAAGTGCTTCCAAACTTGCATTGTCCATTTCTCATATAATAAGCACATTCCAACTCATTCTGCTTGCAATAAAAGAAATTGAATAAAGCTAAAACCAAAATATGAAACTTCATTCAATCCGAAAAGCATGACATTTGTAATAGATTTGAAGTCCTACATCATATACAGTCCCACATCATATACAGTCCCAAAGTACATGCAGTTCTAAAGCTATACATCACAACACTTATTGTAATCTGAAAAGCATGATAGAAAGAAGGCTTGCCAGCTTGTCCTTTCAATCCATAACTTGAGCATGAGTCGGTGCTATACGTTGTCATTTTGACTTTATTTTACCTATTTACCCCATTTTAATACTCAAAATTTCGAATGTGATAAAATAATGGTGATTATCTCAAATTATTTCTTGTGTATGGAAATAAGTGAAAGAATGATAACAAAATGTTAATTTACTTGAAATGTAACTTTTTTATGACACCTATAAAGCAAAAATGTAGCAATAACAATTGGAAGGAGGGCTTATGAAATGGATTGAACAGTTCAAAAACTTTTCTTAGGAAGAAGCAGGGTGGCATTATATGACCAGATTACATTCCAACTGTCCAGGAGTGAAAACCCAAGGATGACATTTGATAGAAACTTCCTCGGGGAGAAGATTCATGCAGAATAGAGAAGTCCACTCATCCTGGCCAACAAAATGTGGAAGAACTGCTTTCTCTCTAGTCACACTTGAGACTAATTTACAACTTTACATGTAACCCTGTCCATTGCTCATTTCAGAATATATGATCAACTATATTTCTTTAACGTTCACGAATAGTCTCCAAGCAAATTAAAATAACAAATGGCAATTATTAGAGGGTAACGCCCCATACACAACAAGTAAATTGAAAGACAATTCCATTTTGGTGTGCTCTAGACCATTTGGCCAGATAATTAAGGGAAAGAAAATGTAAATTAAACAAGAAGAAAAAGATCACGATCAAAGTGTGCAAGAAGTTGATCAAATTCTATGGATCATCCTGAAGAAACAAAATTGGTGAGAATGACAGAGATGAAGTAAAAGGTGTGAACCGGGCGAAGTGGATAACCCATAACATTTAGGGCAGCTCTTCCAGCGATCCCAGCCTTGTCTCTAGGATGATGAAACTTACACGTGGCTCCATACTTGCAGGACCCCGTTTTCAAGTAATACTGAAAATCAATTTAAACAAATGATTAGAAACAAAGCATGCTAGAACAAATTCTAGTCCAAGCAAGAAGAGATGGTAGATCCAGAAGCAAGCAGAAATCATTTGTCCTCCAGAGGGAAAAAAAAAAAAAAAAAAGGGAAAAAAGAAAGGGGTTCTGATCTAAAAAAAAAAACAATGTAATACTAATTTAAACAGGAAGGATGAGAGGGAAGGGGGGTGTTAACCCAAAAGGGAAAAAAAAAAAAAAAAAAGGGAAAAAAGAAAGTGGTTCTGATCTAAAAAAAAAAACAATGTAATACTAATTTAAACAGGAAGGATGAGAGGGAAGGGGGGTGTTAACAAATATCATATATCTGAAAAGAAAATGGACATAAAATGCCAAGTTGAACTACGATATCTTCAGTACCATCATAAATATTAATCTAGATGGAAGGTGGCTAATTAGGAGTCAAGGACATATGACGCTACAGAGTGGGATGAGTGCACTATCCACCCATACCTGACATTCTGGTTGTCCTATTCTTTCTGGATACTCGCCATTTAGCCTTGCTGCGTCAATAGCCTGAAGTTGAAAAATTAACATTTTACCAATTCCAATAATATATAGCGTCTCAGGAAGCAAGTTAACGTCCAAAATGTCTGGAAGTACATACAATCGCAATTGTCAGAAGTACATGCTTGGTTGCAATGTGCAAGCAGACAAGGTCGAAATTAGGAATAAAGAAAACTTCAATGTGAAATCACAATGGAAAGGATAGAAATATGATGAATTTGATATTTACATTTCATTTTCATTGGAAAATAGTTCCACCTTAGCCAAGCTACCTATGCCCTTTTCAATTGCCTTTTGAGTTTCTGATACGTAAACTGGAGACACTTCGTCCTAACTCCTAATTTACCCCTCTAGTTATCAGACTGATGTCCTTAAGCCCAAGCAATACTACTGGATCTGGAAAAAATCATTTGAAGGCATTTAGTGTCCATTCTCAAAATTACTGTGTTTGGTCTCACAGAATGGAGTTCAAATTGGAATGTTGAATGCTCAATTCAAATATAAATAAATCTCTTATGTGGAGGCACCAATTCCATGTTGTGAAACTCTACTTGATAACTCTGATGCTCAGACTCTTCGAAATAGTCGGAGTGCCCGTGTGGGATACGATACGACATAGGGATATGTGTCGGATCCTCCAAATTTCAACTAGACACTTACTCATTTATGTTTCTTCTTCTTTCTTTCTTTCTTTTCCTTTTCTTTCTCTTTTCTTCTTTCTCATTCCTACTCTCTATGAATCTAGCGTCGCTGCCAAGAGGGTGAAGAAAAGCGACGGTGCTAGATTTTTCTTTCTTTTCCTTCTTTCTTTTTTCTTTACATTTGTTTCCTTTTTTTCCCGTTCTTTCTCATTATTTTCCTCTCTATATCGGTGGTTTAGGGTTTTGCATGTATAAAATGAAAACGATTCCATATAGTGCTATTTAGTTCTCCACTAAGTTTAAATTGCAATCAAGTCCCTTATTTTCTATTTTATATAATATTTAGTAATTCCCATAATTGAAAACTAAATCCCAAAATTCTATTTTATTTGTTTTAACCCCTTATTCAATACCCATTTTCTTCTTCATAAATAATTGATTTTAGTCTATTCAAAATGATAGCTTGAATTAGTAAAAAAAAAAATTGAAGCTTTAAAGATGCATCCGGTACACGTGTTTGAAATTTGGACTTTTTTAGTTATATCACCGTGTTCTACATTTTAGAAAATAAAATATCTGACACTTAGATACGTACCCATTCACAATACCCGTACTCGAGTCCGAGCAACATAGCTTGATAATTGATTAAAATATCAGATATAGAGCAGCAAGCTGCATATGTAGAGTTTCAATAGCTGCCACCGACATAGTTGTTTATAATTAATGACATTCAATCATGTGTAGACACATAAACATCTTTATAAGCTCTAAAAATTTCCCAAGTCATGCAAATTTATATCTGTGGTCCTCACCTGGCTCCTATTAGTGGGGTGATTAAATCGGCATGTTGCTCCAAATCTACACAGACCTGTTCGAATATAATATTTACAATCTGGTTCACTTTCTCGCACAGGATATTGTCCAGATTCCATTTCTTCCCTTGATCTGATGTTCATTTGCAATAAAGAATCTGAAAATATTAGCTGCTGTCAGTTTAGACTTCCAGCATGATGTGAAGTGTAATTGACACCGTGTTATGATCCAATAGAATTCATGCTGCCTAACAAAACCAGCAGTTTGTTTCTTTACTCAGGCTCTTATATAATAGACAGGCAGAAGAGTATCCAACTCGAAAATTGCAGTTTCTAATCTTTTGTACCACAATTTCATTATAGAATTGTCAAAAGACAAAGTGGTTGGCAAAAATTCAGGTACCTGTTTCCCAATTTGAATATCACAAACTTGTCCAGGAAAAAAAAATGTAAAATAAGATAAAAGCTACATGCTTTATGAAGATTAATTTCGAGCACCCCCCCCCCCCCCCCTCTTTTATTTTTACTTTCTCTTGCAGAGACGAAAATTGCAGTTTCTAATCTTTTGTACCACAATTTCATTATAGAATTGTCAAAAGACAAAGTGGTTGGCAAAAATTCAGGTACCTGTTTCCCAATTTGAATATCACAAACTTGTCCAGGAAAAAAAAATGTAAAATAAGATAAAAGCTACATGCTTTATGAAGATTAATTTCGAGCCCCCCCCCCCCCCACCATCTTTCAATTTTACTTTCTCTTGCAGAGAACTAAAAAGATGATAATCGATTTGTAATAAACTTGAGAACTTGTATACTTTTTTAATAATTATTGCAGAAGAAATATGAATGAACTATTGAGAAACTAAAGATTGGGAACTTCTTCTGTAAAATGAAAGATCATTCCTTACAGATTTTGACTTTTTGAGGCAAAACCCCTTCCTCATGGGAGTTATCCCTAGAAGAGGATCCAGGATGAGAAAGATTCCGTCCCCCACTCCCTTTTCGCTATTCCTTTAATGTCACTGTCTCTTGTAGATAACTAGAATATATTAATTGATTTGCAAAATAGTCCACAAACTATAGAATCTTCATTTTGTGTAGCAGAAATCATATATCGCAGATTTCTTTTGCAAACGAAAGATCAATTTCAAGCCCTTTTCCCATTCAATGATTTTGCAGAAAATTAAAAAATAATAAAATTGGTTTGCAACATAATCATCAAGTAAAACTGTAAACTGTATTTCAATAGCATAAGAATTATCACCTAGCATTGAGATACTATACATCTCGAACAATTTCAACCATATTTTGCCGTTCAATTTCACTTGATCTTGTAAAAAGAAAAAGAAAAAGAAAAAGAAATTATTCTCGACATGTGTAAAGACCAAAAGTGAAAAATCATTTCTTTCTATAGCAGAAGAATTGAGCAGGAAACGTTGAGATGCTAAAGATCGTTCATTTATTCTTAAAAATGAACGTTCTATAGTAAACCGATTGGTATATATATCATGAAATTCGGAGCTAAAATACAATTTCATAAAGATAAATAACAAAGTGATTTCTCGAATTTAACCTTTAAATTCTTAATTTTCTTTCATATAAAGAAAAGTCAAGTAGGATGCATGTCATCAATTCCCAGCAACCACCACCCATAAGCAGATAAACAGCTACAACTTTGAGTGTGAAAACATAAATGCGATGACAATGTTTAAGTATTTATGATCCGCCAGTGAAAAATATATAAAATTACCAATAATAATAATAATAACAATCTTTAAGCAAAATCACCATTATCAAATCCATGCAAACATAATAAAAAAATCGAGTAAGAATAAAGGAAACCCACCTTGTTGTTGATGGTAGTGCTGGGGGGAGAAGGAGGATGAGGGGGAGGAAGAAGAGGAAGCGACCGCAATGATAGATACAGATGACATGGGAATTCGTCACCCAACCTGTCACTAACACTCCTGCACCAGCGGCCTTCAGCAGCCCATGATCAACGGCTGATCGCCCTTTTCATTCGAGGAGAAGCAGAAAATTTTGTTTCAGAGTAATTTGGTGCGACGAAATATGAGAAAAGCGAGGGATGGATAGAAAGAGTGGAGTGGTTCACTGGTTCTTGTGGTCTCCTCCCAACAGAGAGAGAAGGAAACCAACCCACCATCCACCGAATGAATGAACTCAGCTGTTATGTCAATCCCACACGCCATTCCCGCGCGTAACCGGGATTCTCTATACCTTGGTTTCTCGAATAGAAAGTTATGGCTACGCTCCCTAAACTTTCAAGTAGTGTTAAAAATGGTTCTCCAAGTTTTTAAAGTGAGGTTCCGACTTTTCAATCTGTATAAATCTGAATTTGGATTCTTAGGTCTCGAAATCCATCAATTTGGCAATTAAAAGGTTAGTTTCTTTAAAAATATTACTATACGTCTATACCCTTCTATGTTGATGACTAGATGTAGATAAAAATGAAATAAATAAATAAATCATTTTTTTCTCGTCAACATATCTACCATTATCGCCCTAAATCTTCACTATCAAAATTACCATTTTGTTCTTAAAAATTGAAAATTTGTGCTCCATTGCCACCACTATACCCCCTAAACCAGAAGCAAATGGCCAAATCTCAATATCAAATTCCGCAAACGTTTGGAGCTTGTTTGATAGCCATTAAAACAAAGTCTTTTTTCTCAAATTTATTTTTATCGTACATTTCACATGAAAATGCTAAACATAAATTAAAAAACTCTCTCAAATTTTAATTACGCAATTCTCCGAAAATTCAATATTCTAAAACTCTTTTTCCTGAAAAAAACTCATTATAATGGTTATTAAACGGGGACTTGATTTATGAATGGATTTGACAAACAAAGATCAAGCTTTGAAAATGTTTTTTCTCACAAAATTTCGTGCATACTTGCACAATATATTTGTATGTGTGTACTAATACGTAAATCCAATCAATAAAAAGTCCCAAATCAAAAAGATGTAGTGTCAATAGTGACATGACACAAGATAATGTATCGTTGTTCGGTGGTCATAGAGAGGTGGCAATGATGGTGGTGACACGTAAAAATTCAGTCCAAATCGAACGGCTCAAGGAATGAAGCCCAATTGGAGGATCCCCAAATCAGATAGCCCAAAGAACGAAGTTCAATCAGACAATTCAGGATGAAGGCCCATGAACGCGGTAACACCATCGCCCAAACTTGCAAGTCGCCCAGGACCTGAGCGAATAAGTGCCATGCAGTCGTCCAGAGCTGCTACTCTATTCTTGCCCAAACCTTCGAGTCGCCCAAGGTCTTAGCAAAACATGAAGTGTTATGGTTATTAAGAAGCGCGGTTATCAAAGCAGTTATTAAGCAGCCCTATCACGTTCCACGATTCAAGGAATTCAATTGAAAACGGTTGAATGACAAAGAGTAATGACAGCAGTTAGAAAAGGCAGTTCCATGACAAGTTGGCCATTACGAGAAAAGTGGGTAGTTATAGAACGATCAAGCAGTTTTTAGGCGGTTGATCACAAAGAGATCATCCAGGAAAAGGAAGAAAAGACATAGAGCAAAAGACCCCGAATCAAACACTCTCAAACAGAAAATATGTAACTTTCAATTTCTTAGTTTAGATTTAAACACTTCTTTCAGTAACTCGTGTGCTTGCGCCCCTTGTAGGCATTCTGTTTTTACTTTCCGATTGTAAAGTCATCGCCAATAAAGAATACCCCTTTTTGGGACTTTGTCTCAAGATGTTTGTCCCTTACACAATCGTTTGATCCATTTTTAATTGTTAGCGACTAACCCACGCGAAACAATTTGGCACGCCCGGTGGGACAGTGGTGTTTGGTATTGAAAATACAAAAGGTGAAACAATATGCCTCGGAGATCCGATAAGGAAGCAGCAAGTCAGGGAGGAGTCCAGTCTGTGATCGAGCGATATGAGGAGCAGCATGCCTCTCCACGAACAGATGGACAAAATCAGAGCAGTAACAGTCGTTACGAATCAATGATAGAATTGAGTCCTCGAACTATGCGTGCACTACTTGGAGAACTCACACAAGATGTCGTTGAACAGGTAAATCTTCGAAATATTCATTAGATGGAAAGATTTACCCAAAACGGGAATGCACATTATGACAACATGACCAAACAACTAAACACTTTGAACGAAATAATGAATAAGTTAGTAGGCCAAATATGTCAATCGGTTCTGCCTCTTGCAAACCACTTTCAAACTAGGACAATTGTGTGACATAATCCCTCGGTCCTAAATCCGAATCAAGGGATAGAACCACTTTCTGGTCCCTCTACTTCAAACCAAGGGGGTGGTGCAGTGCTAAATCAGAACAATGGTAGTGGTACGCCTAACTTGGGGGATAATCCAAATATAAGAGATAATGTCCTAAACAATAGACAGAATACCCCACGTGTTAATGAGGGAATAGATATTCAGGCTAATGGTAATGGCCCAAATCATGGTAACTTTGTTACCACTCAAGTACCAAATATCAGGCCTCATGCAAATCAACCGGTTAACCAACCTGTAGAAATTTCATATGACCCCAACGTCATGTTGAAGAATCAGATTATGGAAATCGTACAGGATCAGATGGCTTTTGGGGTGCGTCCTGTCATTAGGCCGACTTACACAAAACCATATCCTGATTAGGTAGACCAGGTATATCCATGGCTTAGAGGGTATAAAGTACTAGAATTCTCACTGTTTACCGGTTTAGGGGAGGTGTCTACTCTAGAACACATAGTGCGATTCATATTGCAAAGTGGTGATGTAACTAATTACCATAAAATGAGGTTTTTCCCTAGTTCATTAACAGGAGTAGCTTTCTCCTGGTTCATCAACTTGCCAGCGAACTCTGTTCAAATATAGCAACAATTGGAACAATTATTCCACGCTCAGTTTTATAAAATTGAGTCTGAAGTTATTTTGGCTGATTTGGTGAATCTATGTCAAATGCCAAACGAATGGGCAGAAAGTTTTCTCCAATGGTTCAAGACAGCAAGAAGCAAGTGTTTTGTACCTCTGCCCAAAAAAGAATTTGTCAAAATCGCTCAGGGTTATTTGAGCTTTGATTTAAAAAAGAAATTTCAAGACAAGGAATTTCCTGACCTTTTCCAGTTGAGTACGAATGTGATTAGGTATGAACGACTGATAAGAGAAGAAGAGGAGATGAAAAATTCTAGTAAAGGGACTTATTACAAATACCCAAATTTTGATGTTCATACCATCGGCGATGAGTCATACGATCAAACCGAAATGTGTTTGGCTAAATTGGTCAAAGGAGACACGTATACTTGTCCTATAATGGCTAAGTCTAGACCATCGGGTAAGGATGAGCCCATGAAAGATGGAAACATAAAGGCTAAAACATTCTCGTTCGATGTAACCAAAGCTGACCTTATATTTGATAAATTATATAGGGATAAGCAGATAAAGTTGAGTGATAAGCATAAATTGTCAAACCCTGAACAAATTAAGGGTAAAAAATATTGTAAGTGGCATAATGTATGGTCACATTTGACTAACAATTGCTTGATTTTTTGCCATGTATTGCAGGATGCTATTGAATCAGGATGAATTACGTTTGACGATAAGAAGAAGATGGCAGTGGATGAAAATCCTTTTCTACAGCCACTTGGAGTGAACATGGTGACGTCTGGTTTCAAAAACAAGTTGCTAAAATTCAAGTTGGTCATAGATGATGGAGAAGAGACCCTGAACCACATCCCAGTGTCTTTGAACGAATCAAGAGGAAGGAGCCAAAAAAGAACGAAAACGTCCTATGTGCAAGATGTAAAAGAGAAGTGAGTGGAAACACGGAGAAACAGGGGATATGGCAGCATCTCCATCGCCCTACTTTCTTCCCAAACACTCAGCCTGGTAGAGGGCGAAGTACATCATTCTATAGAGGACCGCCTTTTGAGGGGCAGTTCAGATCAGTAAATAGTGGGAGAACATTCAGGCCGCAACCTCGCCGACCGAATGTATAGCATTCATTCCAGTATAGTGCAGAGAAGTCGATACTCTTCAATGAGATAACTAGAACCCAGTAAAGGCGTTTCCAATGAAATTATGGACAAATGATGAGACAACAACAGGGAGTGTCACATCCTAAGGCGCCTAAACTACTCAAAGTAGCCAATCAAAATGTTCTCAAAGACAGTGAAGAAAATGGTACAGACAAATCAATGAAAGAGTTGTCAGAAACTTCTTCTGAGAGATCAAAGTTTGAGCGAGACAGAAGGGATGGAGAAGATCCAGATCAGCCCCTTACTATCCAGTTTGGTACGTTACCTTCTGTCGTGGTTAATAATTACTTACTGGCCAATGAATTCAAGAATAAAGAAAAAGAAGAAGAAGAAAGGGAGGACAATGAAGGAGAGGCTTGCGTGCTGAAATGTGAAGAAGGCCAAACTTCTAGAGAGGCCTACAATGATGAAGAAGATGACGGGATGACAGATATCGAAGAAGAAATCGACCTAGAAGCAGAAAGAAGGAGTAGGAGTAGCATTGATTAATCCTTTAGGAATTTGCTACAAGTTCGCGTTCACTTTAGACAGGATGTGCACCAACAATCAGGCTGAATATGAAGCCTTAATCGTAGGCGTAGAACTAATGATAGATATAGGAGTAAAAATGTGATCGTTAGGGGTGATTCTCAACTGGTAATTCACCAATTGATTGGTGATTTTAAATGCCAAAGTGATTCCATTATAAGTCAATATGAGATCGCCCAAGAATTGTTAGAAGAATTCGACCAAGTAGAACTTCAATGCGTTAATAGGATATATAACGACGTGGCAAGTGAGTTGGCCCAAATGGCCTCGGGTACTCAAAGGTTTTGAATTGGAAGTCTACTTGTGAGTATGGAACCATATTGCCCGACCCAAAGAAGGGCGAGAAGGATTGAACTTCACTGCATACAAGATGGAGATGCAATGGATTAGAGAACAGAGATTAAAAGGTTCCGTAAAGAACCTAATAGAGGGATTAGTAGGAAAATGAAGCTGTGTTTGCTGAACTATACATTAATAGATGAAGAGTTGTTTAAGAAACGCTCTGATGTTGTATTGCTAAAACATGTAAGTTTGCAAGAAGTCAGGGCAATCATGGTTGAGGTGCACGAAGGGATATGTGGAGCTCATCAAGCTAGCCAAAGGATGAGATGGTTAAT